ATGTGGTGTGTAGGATCAGATTACAGTTGTTGTGCTGGGGGTGAAAGCAATTTAGAAAGTTAATTATTTTTTATAAATTGCGTTTATGACACAAAACATATATAAGGATAAAACCCTGCACTGGTGTAGTGCATGAAGAGGTCATTCTAGTTTTAAAACTGATTTTAAAAATGTAAATTCATCTCTCACAGGGTTAATCAACTTTTTTTGGAGAGAGTGAAGTCACAGTCGTGTTTTTCCTTTCTTTTCTAGAACAACAGTAGAATGCTAGCCTGGCAGGCAAGTTCCCTGTATATGCAAACATGTTCTGTGGCACATGACTGCATATATACTCACCCTGATCTCACCACTTAAATGAGAATCAAAACTTTTAACATTTCTTATTGTCTCTTCACTGCCACTCGTAGTTTGAGGAGAGTGAGGAGGAGGAGGAGGAGGAAATAGGGGAGGAAGGGGAGGAAATTAAGGTTGAGGTTTGTTACAGTGTGAAATGGTTTTAACCTCTAACATCATTCCAAGTCCTTTCCCACTGAAACATGACGTCCCTGTGGTTGTCAAGTTGGCGTTTATCATCTTTAGATTTTTTCATCATCTGTGGTTGAATTTTCACAGTTTCTTTCCCTGGTCGTTCCTCAAAACTCTTCTCTGGTTTCCCCTTAAAATAAACTGCTGTTGTGTGTTTTTTTTATTGTTTCGTTAATTTCTCTTTCTTCATTTCTCTTCTTATAAAAAATCTTATAAACCTCTCTATTCCTCACAAAGACGGCCACACCGGTAGAAAAGGTAGGTTACGTGCACACCGGGGTGTATCTTGATCTTCAGTGGTTTCCCCCAAAATAAATGAAAATCCAAATTCCAAACGAGAAATGACTCTTGATTGAGCTTGTCCTGTGTTACCCTCCACCTCTCTGTGCTGCCGTAGACTGAAAATGCATTTGAAGAGAAGAAGGTGAGTGTAGGTGCACAGACTCAATGTATATTAACACAAAAACACTCCAAGGCAACAACAAAAACACACACAGCACATTACAAACGGAACACAATCCATTTCTAGATGCGTTTTCCTTCGCCCTCGAGCCTTTTCCTTTGTGCTGCGCAGCAGAATCCTCTCCCCTCACTAATGGTGCCACATAACCCTGACAGGCCATGAATCAAAAGGCCATTGGATCATTGGCTTAATGAGCCACAGTCCAGCCTCATCCCTGTGGCTCAGCTCCCCCTGCAGGCACTGCTTATTTAGATCACGCCTCAGTCTACCTGGGTTCGGTCATTTTATGGATCTTTCCTGCTCGTCCCCCTCACCCTGTGCTCGTGAGACCCACATGCAATGTTAAATTTTTTATTTTTCCAATGCGCTCCCTTTGAAAGTTGGAGGCTGCTGGGAAAAAGGTGGGTTTGTGCGCATGTGGCACGTACTCTCCCTCTTGGGGGAAAAATAATTTCCTCTGCACAATTTTAAAGTTTGTGAAAGCGGCGGAGCGTTAAACTGTTTTAAACCCGCTGAGCTTCTCTCTGCTTGTGTCTCTGCAGATGGACACTGAGGCCAGCGACCTACTGAACGACCTGCAGGTGAAGCTGAGCAACGTGCTGGACGAGCTCAGCAGTACATTTGGGAACAGGTACACATACATCTCACTCACGCAGTTAATGCAGTAACCTCTCATGCATTTTTGCTGATTTCGCTCATTATCTTATCAGCTTCCAGGGCCGTATCACCGACTGCATGCGACAGATGGCGTCTCTGCTGTACCAGATTAAAGGGCCGCTCAACGCCAACAACAAAAACCAGGTGGAGGGCGACTCCGACAACATGCTGAGGCCACTCATGGACTTCCTGGATGGAAGGTGAGTGGATGATTAAAATTCGAGACCCCTCCCATCTTTTAGGAATCTAACTGCAGTTCTACATATTTAACATTTGGCAATTTCCTCTTCCACAAGTTTGCAGTTGTCTCTTTTTGTGTATTTATGTGTGATCGCATGTTTTTGCAGGCTGACACTTTTCGCCACCGTTTGTGAGAAGACCATCCTGAAACGTGTGCTGAAGGAGCTTTGGAGGATCGTGATGAGCAGCCTGGAGAAGACCATCGTTTTGCCGCAGGGCAGCGACACCTTTGTAAGTCAGATGTTTTGTTTGGTTGCTGCAGCATCGGAGGAAATCGCAAATTGAAATGCAACAGAAAGTAGTTTCTCAGTTCTTCTGTTTTTTTTATCTCTCAGGGAGCGCAGATCCTCTCAGCTGCCAAAGAGCTCGGTCAGCTCTCCAAACTCAAGGTATCAAGATGCCTTTGGATATTTAAATCTGTGTGTTCAGACTCAATCATCACTAACTCGTCTCTTTCCTCATCACGTGCAGGATCACATGGCGGGCGAGGCTAAGAGCTTGTCTCCCAGGCAGTGTGCTGTCATGGACGTGGCACTGGACACTATCAAGGTCAGTTAATACGACGGGCTCGGGTTTCGTTGGGACGCAGGGGGGGGGGGGCGCAGGGTCGGGTTAGCTTCATCAACTATTCATCCATTTATCAAGAACCCTGAAAGTTTGTGTTTGAAATCATCTATTGTTCATGCCGACTCTCACCCTCCTGTTTCCTTTGCAGCAATACTTCCACGCGGGCGGCAACGGGCTGAAGAAGGCGTTTCTGGAGAAGAGCCCTGAGCTGTCCTCGCTCCGCCACGCGCTGTCGCTCTACACTCAGACAACAGACACGCTCATCAAGACCTTTGTCACCTCCCAGCACGCACAAGGTATTTAGCTTTACATCCATCTTTCCTGTAATATACCAGGAGAGGGCGCCAGCCGAACACTGTGTCTGATATGTTTTGTCTCTGAGGCTGAAGTGTGTTGACGTGTTGTCGCTGTCTTCTCTTATCTCCTGTGCTGCCTCTGTGCCAGTGCACAATGGGAAGGGTATTAGGTTAACACCCAATGAAAAAATTCAGCCCAGCAGGGGTAGGTTCCATCGAAGTCATTTGCCAGCATTTCTTTTCTCCCCCGCATCCACTCCCCCCTTTGTACATTGAGTGTCTCTGTGCCACTAAGGTGGGACGGTCAACCCCCTGTATCCCCCCCCCCCTCTCATACTGACTCTCTTTATTCTTTGCTGTTATGGGCGTTAAATGAAAGCTCATCGACTCGTATGTGTCTGGGTGCGTTAGGTTCAGGCGTGGACAAGCCGATTGGCGAGGTGTCTGTCCAGGTTGAGTTGTACACTCATCCCGGGAATGGCGAGCGAAAGGTCACCGTCAAAGGTCAGTTTGAGTTTTTCATAATAATCATCCTGAAGAAACGTTTAGACATTTTAAACAACACGAACTCTTCCTCCCCCTGCGTGTGACTGCAGTCATGGGAGCCAGCGATTTAAAATGGCAGACGTCTGGCATGTTCCGACCCTTCGTGGAGACCACCATGATCGGGCCTCACCTCAGCGACAAGAAACGCAAGTTCCAGACCAAGTCCAAGAACAACAGCTGGTCTCCAAAGTTCAACGAGACCTTCCACTTGTAAGTCCTGGAGCAGTTCTACCTGCGTTTGAAATGAATGAGTAAAGAAATAATTATTTAATCACCAAAGCTCGACTCAGAGTTTTGGTTTCAGACTTAAAGTAAATCTAGAGTCGTAGTTTGAAGCTGCTGTGTTAATGGCTCCTCTCTCTCTCCGCAGTGCTCTGGGCAACCAGGACAACTTCGAGTGCTACGAGCTGCAGGTCTGCGTCAAAGATTACTGCTTCGGCCGCGCCGACCGAGTGGTGGGCTTGGCCGTCATACAGCTGAGGGACATCATGGAAAAGGGCAACTGCGCCTGCTGGTGTCCGCTGGGCCAGCGCATCCACATGGACGACACCGGCCTCACCGCCATGCGGATCCTCTCCCAGCGCTCCAACGACGACGTGGCCAAGGAGTTTGTGAGGCTGAAGTCGGAAACGCGATCGGCCGAGGAGGGCAGATGAGAGGAGGAGGGCTGGAGACGGAGAGAGAGAAAGGAAGGAGGGCCACCGAATTTCAGAATAAGAGACACATCCAGGGAATCATCTTCCTGCATCCGACCACACGGACACTTGTTCGTGTCTGAGCTGCTGACGCCTCGCTCGCTCGCTCGCTCGCACTCGGACAAACGCTCTCAAACATTAATGACAGAGCTCCACCACACAGACACAAGCTCACTCAACCTTTCTCACTCACCAGCTGTTCCACCAGGAAGTGACCACCCACCCGGTCACTCTCTTTTTAACCCCCCACCCTTCCCCCGTCCTACAACGCTGCAGTGGCACAGTGCGCACGCCACGGCCTCAAGGGAACAGAGGACGCCGGCCAGGCCCCCCCCCCC